TAAGAAGAATAAAATTATTCCAAATATCGCCTGATGCGATAAGAAAAGGACTCATTCAGGTAATAAGAAAACGACTCACCCAGGCGAGTTGCCTTCGGCGGACGTTTTAGAGCGACCGGTAATAGGAAATCGATTCGATGGCAATATTACCGGCAATAAATTTGTTTCCGAGGGCGACACGTTTTCTTATTGCCGGCAACACAAATTGTTTGGTGGGTATGTACAAGTATTTTACAATATGAAAACACACATTTCAACACACATAAACATATTTTTATATAAACCTGAACAAGACAACATTTAAGAATAAATACATATACAATATTCAAACAGACAAGAAACACAAACACATAAATATATACATAAATATAGGGGAAATGTAAATGAGAGTATATTGACGAACTATTATGTCAGCTTACTACATGATGTGCATGTACATACAATACCACGTATACTACACTCATTTCACTAAATGGCTTTTAATAACTTTAACGAGACCTTAACTTATTTTATTTTATTAATTTTAGTGCAGTTTTGACAAAATTTTCATGCTAAAAAATCTTTTGTTACCCTACTTTATTTTATTCCTTTGATCGCACATGTTAAATAAACGCTTGCTTTTAAAAAATATATTTTTTACATATACTTCATGCATTTTTTCAACCACCAGCAAGTGCTGAAAATCGTACTTACCTAAAGGGCTACATGCCCAAAATCATTGCTACGTGTTCCTATTTAATTAAACTTTGCTTATTTGTTAATTCCTGCAAAATTGGACCATTTAGTATTGATATTAACACATTATTCGGCATGGTTTATATATTTTCCTATGCGTTTTGGCATTTCTCTCGCGATTGGACCAAGATGACGTCATGCAAAAACTACGCCCAAAAATCCTCTCTCATGGGCGCAATCTTGTATTCAATCATTCTTGGTTATGGATGTTGGGTGGAATATACTCAGTTTCATCATACTCGCTGCGTTTCTTTGATCGCTGCACTACCATAAGCCAAACAAGCAAAAGTTTGTGCATACTCGAGTTGAAACTCGGGCACAGTGTTGCCACTATTGCTCTTTTCCGACCGAATTTGGTCGCTTCTTTTTCATTTGGTAGGTTGGTCGGCAAAGTAAGATTTTGGTCGGATAGTTGAACTAAGTTTTTAAATTCTTAATTATAAAAATATATACATATTTCAAACATAATTTTTCATATAAATATTTGCCAATTGTACCTTTTAAACATTTGCCAATCCTGCCTTTAAAAATAAGAAACCTAATTGGTTTGGCCACTGAAGGAGCCAATGTTATGGCTGGAGACTTAGGCGGGCTGAAACATTATATAAAGTGCACATGCCACTCACTTCACCTTTGTTCAAGCTACGCTTGTAAAAAATTGCCGAAAAGCATTGAGACACTGTGCCGCAACATATATGTATATGGGTTGTTCACAGTTCGTTCCAAATAGTGCCTCAAAATGTAGATGTACAAAATTGAAAAACGACGCCGCACAGTGCCGCCTAAGTGGGTGCAAATCGAAAAATTCGTTATCTGTAATGTGAACTTGTTTCGTATTTTTGTAAAGACAATTTATCCACTAAAAATAATTAAACAGACATTTCTCTAAAAAAAAAATTATATGCCGCCAGGAAAACACTAAAGTCGACAAATTTTATACTAAAAATTTTAATAAGCTCTTCACAGAAAAAAGTTTCAAAAATATATTCTTTGAAATAAAATATTGATTTGTCTTTTCTTGTTTCCATATAGATAGTAGAGAATTACAGGAATTAAAATTTGGAATAAAATTAAACACAGGGTGTCCCAGCGGTGTTCCAGAAAACAAGTTTTTTAAACCAAATTTTAAAAAAAACCTAAATTTTGGAATGAATAAAAAATATATGTAAAAAGATGTTATTTTTTATTATTTTATTAAATAGTACGGGTTTTTAGCTTTCGTAAGAAGAAATAAAAACCTGCTCATTCTTTACACTTTTGGAAGTAATGCGTTTTTTGCGTGGAGTTTGTTACTCCACGTCAAACAGTGCGGACGTGTAAATTACTTTGCCCTGAGGACGGTTACCGAAGCGTAACCGAAATATATCGGAAAGAAACACAAAAAAAACTTTCATAAAAACTTTTCATAAAAAATTTTTAAAATTGACCTCGAGCCTGCAAAGTTTTAAATTACAAGTAGAAAGGTCGCTAAAACCATCAGTATACTTATGAATTTTAGCAATTACTTAAGTTTTGCATGAATTTTGTAGCGAAAAAAAAATTTCACAGGCGAAAATTTTTGCCTAACATATGTCATTTTGTTTGCCAGATATGTATAAGTTTTATCAGTGGCAATATTTGTGTGTGGGAATTTTTTATCTTGATAAAATCATTTGTATGATGGCTCAAAACAAGTATGTTCGTTGAATTGTTGAATTGGGGCGCAAATATGCTTAAAAAAATTTAGAAAATGTGTTATTTAACATCCAAGTTCATAGTCAAAAATAAAACAGGCCACTGGCGGATCCAGTCTTTTTTTTGAGGGGTATTTTGCGGTAAATTTGCCGCTTATTATTATTATTTTAAACGAGTAATTCTTGTATTTATATATTAGGGTGATCAAAAATAACTAACCTAGCGAATTTATGGCCTTAAAATGACCTATTTACTGAGAAGGAAATTCTCGCAAAAAAATTTGTATTTCTATTTTAAGGGGTGTCGGTGGGCATTTTAAATCTTCTACGTAAATAAATGTAAAAAAATAGTTTTCATTAAAAATGATATAACTTTTGAACCGTTAAAAAAGGGATACAAGTTTTTTCTAAGCATATTTTTGTAGGGCATTAAATTCTCTAAAACATGACCCTAGAGTTGGTTGTCTTTAAGACGATTAAGGGCCGTTTTCTCATCAACCTTTAGTTTACCGGCCACTTTATCGTCTCGATATACGAGTTTTCGTTTTCTCATCAGCGCATTAATTTCTCGAATCGATAAACTGTTGCTCACCCGATGCAACCTTTAAAATTTGTACCCAACTTTAAATTTTGGTTTGGTTTTGGTTCATGAGTCAGATATATGAGATATTTCAACCAAGGGTTTGGTTTTTGCTAACAGTTGCTCCTGCTCTATATTTGCTTATGTTGCATTGCCAACCTTTGAATTTTTATGACGAATGTAGTGAAGTTTCACTCTCGGAAATGTAGTGAAGTTTCACTATACGGAATAACAAATTTATTTTTACCGGCAAGGTAAGAAAACGAAAACACTTTAAAGTGAGGAACAATTTATCTGCCCTGTTAGTAAAGGCAACTTTACTGCTTACATTAGAAAACGGCCCTAAGAGTATTAGGTATGTTAATGAAATCGCTGAACGAGGTATAGCGTTGACACAAAATTATAATCGAACTTTGACGAAAGACGAAGAACAAAAGCAATTTCTTTTTCAAGTTATACAATTACAATTAAATAATTTATAAATAAATAGTCAAAACTTGTTAATATGGTGCGATCTTATACATAATTATGCAACGCAGTGTACCATTAACTTGTTTGACTTGTGTTTAGAGAAACTTTGAATTGTTAACTTACTCGTTATTTATGTGTTAAAATAAATATAATTTTTTTTTGTGTTTGTACTTCGAGAATTTGTTCTATTGGAATGTTAAAAAATTCTGGTCACCTTAGGATCCACAAAACAAAAATGTTTGATGAGTTCATTCAAGAACGTGGAAAGTGTTAAGAGACAAAAGACTGGCTAAAGACGAATCTGGGATATTGATTTTTTAATGTTGATTTGTTGATGACATCACTTTGTTTTTAAAATAAATTCATAGATAGAGATTTTCGTGTTTGTGATAAAACAAGTGCATGCTTTTGAAGAACTGAGTTGTTTTTTTTATTTTTCACTCATTTCTAATAAACTTATCGACATGAGGTAGAATCCAAAAACGAATTGGATTTTCATTAATACGTGGTTTTTCTCTTCGGAAAAATTACGTCCAAATTATACTTAAATTGTTTTTTGAAATTTGCCTTTTTTTCTCAAAAACTGCATGTGCTCAAAAATTTTGTAAATTAACTTCAAATCAGCATCAAAAAATCTATAGAAGAGGTCGATCCCATTCTTGAGATAAAATACGACCGAATTTTATTGAAGTGTGTTATTTTATTTCAAATTAAATAAAAGTCCAAAGATAGCTTTTTTCTAATGTCAGGGGATATGGTTGGCCTGAAAAGCAGATGGTTGCTTAAACCGACAATATTATGAAATGCGTGAGCTAGATAAAGCAAAAACGTGCACTTTTGCAAGGTTGAGTGTTTTATAAACATATTTTGAATTGGTAGATTTTTTGGGAGAAAAGAATTTACCGTAAGTGTATAGTTCACAAAAAAATGTGACAAAGTGAAATTTGTTTAGCCATTAAAAGCGGAAAAGAAGCACGTGAATGTAACCGAAAAACTCTTAAGCAAACTATCAGAACAAAATTGCCTGCAAGAGATCCAACACTACCCTAAACCTCAGTTTTTCATTCAATCGCAGTGTGCCTTTTCATTTCTTTATAAACAATAAAAATGCAAACTCTATTGGCGTTTGTAGTGCTAATTCACCTTAGGCCGCAGTTTGCCCAGCCGCTGGCCGCCAGCTATGATTACGATAGCGGTGGCGAATATTCAGATTCCGAAACAGTATTGTCGCACTTTCGACCATTTCACAGTATAAGGCATCAGCACCATTTTGAAGTTGATAAGACCGAAATTGCTAAAGACTTATCAACAACTGCAGGCGTAACTGAAAGTTGGAGCATTCGTCAGCATTTACACAATCAATATCAAAGTAGGCATAAACATTCAGAATCAAGGATGCAAACACAGCTGGAAAATCATCTTCACTTTAATCGCAATAGTCGTGATCAGCATCGGCGCTATAAGGATAAAGTACTTCGCACTCAAACTCAAAAAAACTCAATACATGCTTGGCGTGAGACGGCTGCGGGTGGAATGGGACTGATTAAGCCGACACCGCATCCTACATATGTGACAAAAAAATCGACTCACACAATTACCTTTGACGAGGTTAACGAAAGCACTCAAAATTATTACCATCAAAGGAAAATACGGCAGCAGCTACATTACAATCATCACAAAATTCAATCAAAATCAAATTCCAGTGGCGCAAAGCGCACAGCGCCATCAGCTAATGACATTCAACTGAACTGGCATGCGAAGTCGAAACATGTTGGCCACAATGGAGAGGTGTATGTGGAAGAGTCACCTTTTAGTTCAAGCAGTCACATCAACGAAGATGCTGATAACGCTACGGTATATGTGGAGGAACATTCGGAGTCAGTAGGCACTAGTACGGATAATATTATAGGTATAATCTTAGAGTCTGATAGTAGCCACATGCCTACAGAGACTAGCAGTGAAAAAATTACTGAGTACGGCGATGATGATGATGAATATTATGATTATAACAGCGATGGTGAGTCCAAAACGGGCCAACACGTTTACGAACACGCATTTGCGCCCGTCGACATTGGCTACGATTATGACAACGGCTTTGATGGTAATGCTACTGAATACGATTATCAGCATTCTCGCCAGTATCAACAGCAGCCACTATCTCAAAGCCGTCTGCAACATCGCCGCAAACAGCCGCCACAACCGAAAAAATATCAAGGCGAATACTCCCGAGAAACACGTGATCACCATCGTGTACAATCACATCCGTTTTCAAGCAACCATTTGACATACGACTCTCACGCAGATGATGTAAGTTGCACAGAAAAAATATATGGGACTGGGAAAGTTAAAAAGGTCCTATGGTTCGAAATAGGTTTTCGAGAAAAAGTACTTTATTTTACAATTGTAGGTTTTCTTATAAATATGCCCTTTTTTGAAGTGAATTTTTGAAAAGCTGATGGAGCTAGAAAGCTGCGGTTGTTGCATTAAAATGAGCGTAAAATCTACTACAAGAATCGGTAAAAAGTCAAAATCGATTATTTCGACCCGTTGGTCCCTTTTAACTTTCCCAGCCACATATCAAACTTATTCAATGAGATAAACAACAGAACTTCCTTAGTATCAGTAATCTGTAAAAGAGCGCTGTTAAGCAGAATACACACAAGCTGACTTGTCTGTACATGTCAAGTATGACATACCGTCACATCGCATGGTGAAACGAATACAGAAGGTGGCGCTGATTGTGATACCGCTTACTCTCTCTTGAAAATTTTGACAGAGATATGACGTCATAGGAGATTTTGTGTATTGCCTGTGTAATATACATGTACATATATATATGCAAAACATATAGATACTGATAGATCTCTCTCAGCTCTCTCCACCGGCAAATCTACCATGACGCCATATTCACGTTACTCTCCCGAATTTCGCGGCGTGTGTGCATACCAAATTCTAGTTCATGTGAGAACAAAATTGAAATTTTTCTATTTTTCTGCTCGTTTCTGCGACAGGTATGAACGTTTATAGTAGACAATGCAGACAGTACTTCATATTTGTATAGAAAAATACAAAAGCAGCAAACATTTGAAGTCAAATAAGACAATTTTATTTTTTAAACTGATTCACATTATATATTTACAGAAGACTATAGGGATTAATCATTAAAACAATAAATTTTAATAGTTTAAATTTTTTATTAATATGTACCTTTATGTAACTACATACAGTGACGAGCAAAACTGTAACATGGTGTAACGCTTTTTATATCAGCCGCCGATATCTTTCCTAGTTCTAACGACATTCATACTTTTGTTATATATTCTTATTGGTACACCTGTACTTGCTCTCTCATAACGAATTGAAGTCAATCCAACAATAATAATAAAACGAACAGTCAAAAATGTAAATTAAGGCAGATGTTACAGTTTTGCACTCATACATTTTTAATAACTTTCGGACAATTTTCACAAAAAAAAGAATTGCTCACACAATGTTCAGTATAATTTTTCTTTTTTTAGTTCCTTGATGCAATTTGGCCCCTATTTGTATTTCTGTAAAGATTCTGGAGGTATAGCCTCCCATATACCCNCCCAGCCACATATCAAACTTATTCAATGAGATAAACAACAGAACTTCCTTAGTATCAGTAATCTGTAAAAGAGCGCTGTTAAGCAGAATACACACAAGCTGACTTGTCTGTACATGTCAAGTATGACATACCGTCACATCGCATGGTGAAACGAATACAGAAGGTGGCGCTGATTGTGATACCGCTTACTCTCTCTTGAAAATTTTGACAGAGATATGACGTCATAGGAGATTTTGTGTATTGCCTGTGTAATATACATGTACATATATATATGCAAAACATATAGATACTGATAGATCTCTCTCAGCTCTCTCCACCGGCAAATCTACCATGACGCCATATTCACGTTACTCTCCCGAATTTCGCGGCGTGTGTGCATACCAAATTCTAGTTCATGTGAGAACAAAATTGAAATTTTTCTATTTTTCTGCTCGTTTCTGCGACAGGTATGAACGTTTATAGTAGACAATGCAGACAGTACTTCATATTTGTATAGAAAAATACAAAAGCAGCAAACATTTGAAGTCAAATAAGACAATTTTATTTTTTAAACTGATTCACATTATATATTTACAGAAGACTATAGGGATTAATCATTAAAACAATAAATTTTAATAGTTTAAATTTTTTATTAATATGTACCTTTATGTAACTACATACAGTGACGAGCAAAACTGTAACATGGTGTAACGCTTTTTATATCAGCCGCCGATATCTTTCCTAGTTCTAACGACATTCATACTTTTGTTATATATTCTTATTGGTACACCTGTACTTGCTCTCTCATAACGAATTGAAGTCAATCCAACAATAATAATAAAACGAACAGTCAAAAATGTAAATTAAGGCAGATGTTACAGTTTTGCACTCATACATTTTTAATAACTTTCGGACAATTTTCACAAAAAAAAGAATTGCTCACACAATGTTCAGTATAATTTTTCTTTTTTTAGTTCCTTGATGCAATTTGGCCCCTATTTGTATTTCTGTAAAGATTCTGGAGGTATAGCCTCCCATATACCCTGGTTTGCTTTCATAGCTCATGTACTCCATTGGACAGACTTGGATACTTAGTAAGCTGCGATTTTAGTTGATTTCGCAAATTTTCGAGATTCACATCCGCGGATTGTGGAGGCCATTTCAAAATAGCAAATTTTTGCTTTTGCATCCAATTTTTGCGAAAATATGCAGTATGTTTTGGGTGATTTTTCAGCAGAAACTCTCATTTTTCGACTACATCTTGTAAATTTTGTTGAAATATGAACAGATACTGTTCTTTACGCATAATGCGTACTAACGGACCAACAATATTTTAGAAATACAACCCCAAACTATTATTGACCGACTACTGTGATTCACAGTTTGCCTTAAATGGTGCGCTTAGGTTTAATTTGGGTCTTTGAACCAATACCATGCCCGGCCATTTGATTGAAAGCGATTAATTTAGTATTGTCAGACCAAATAACCTTCAATTGAAACTTAAAAATATGTTTTTTTTATTGCATTCTGTAAGGCCTCACATATCCCAATAGGCAACGGTCCGGTTTTCGTGCGATCCGGCAAAATGCTACCATTCTCGCACATGTATTTTGATCAAATTTGCTTTTTTCTTCTTTTATCATGCCTTGGCGTTCAATTTGACAACTCTTCGCCTCGCTGTCTACTGATTTGCATTCAATTTTAATACCTTAAGCGCTTCTGTAATAGTGGCTGCAGCGCTACTGCTACTAAGTTCACAAGATATCGACTGTAATATTTTTTGGCAGACTGCCTTTGTCCTTGATAACATTTTAGGCTATCGGGCATGTTCTGCAAATCGTTAGATTTCAAATCGGTGCGAATTACAAAATCTATTTCGGAAGATTTATGACCCAGAGGTAAAAATTTGGCACCAAATCGATGGATATAACGTAAACGATATGTTTCTAGAAGTTTTCATTTGAAAAATTTAATACTTTGATTACAAATACACAACAATACTTTGCAAATCGCGCCGATTTGAAATCGTACGATTTGCAGAACATGCCTGAATATTTTTTGTCAGTCTTAACATTTTCATGTGGCGAACTCCACAATTTTTTCCCGCTTTTCATACGGCCCCGCGTTTTCGCAGTAAATATATTATTTATATTTATGTTTCCCGATTAACCATATTATTTACTGGTAATCACTTCTTGAATAAATTCTTCTTCTTCTTTTTTGGCGCTGTAACCGCCTAAGCGATTTTGGCCGAGTTCAGCAAAGCACGCCATTCGTTTCTCCTCTGTGCCAACTGACGCCAATTGGAAACGCCAAGTGAAGCCAAGTCCTTCTCCACCTGATCTTTCCATCGCAGTGGGGGCCTCCCTCTTCCTCTGCTACCACCAGCGGGTTCCGAGTTGAATACTTTCAGAGCTGGAGCGTCGGTGTCCATTCGAACGACATGTGGGCAACGTGAGCAACCCATGTGCGAGATGCGGTAACCAATCCGAGTGGAGCCTTGGGTCACGGCAGAAAGAGAGGGAGCTTCGGTGGGGCCACTCCGACTTGTTCGGTTAAGGGCTCACTGAAGTCTGCAGCGTCTGTTCACCAGTAGGTGCGGCTGCAAGCGGGTGTCTGCTTGGAGCAAGCGGCTCGCTATATAAACGTGTATTTGGTTGCGAAACCACCCCCGTCCCAGCAATGGGT